TGACATAATTCACATCTGGTTTGTCGTTCCGTTTTATGTCCCGCTTCTCCTGTTTCAGAGTTTTGCGTAATGTGCGATTGGTTTTGTTTTTCTTTTTTAACCTCTAAGGTGCAGGGAGGTCGGGAAACGTATCGATGGGGAAAAGGCAGACGGACATAAACCGTTTAAAACAACGGAAACAATTTCGGTATTCTGATTATTGAAATTTAAAAGTGCTGTGGTTCCGTTGTTCTATCACATCCGTTTCATACCGGACCACTTACAGCACCGGTGTTAATGCTATAAAATGAACGCTCTCTATCGTGGTATCACCATGGAGGGATTTCTTTATTTAAATGGGTTCATTTTTCAGAGGGATACAAAGTGAGGGTATCGTGATTTTAGAAATTACATGTTTATAAGAGCGATTTTCTGTTGTCCTTCCATGGAAGCGTGCAGCTTTCAAACAGAAATAAAACACTTTATAAGATAAGTTGCTGCTTTGACATGATCACAGAACTGCCAAAACATATGTACAAAAATACCAGACAAAGTGAATCACAGCAACATCATCAGCCGGTGAAACACTGAACTGATGCGGTGAAGCTACTAGTAGCAGGAGCGAAGCTGCGCCAAGAAGCTATAAACACTGAATAGAAGAAGGAGAGCTGCCATCGATACAGTTGCAGCCAAGCATGTTTTAATTTTACACAATACAGTTCTAGGAAGTTGCTCAAAGTCTAAACTGGTATTGTTGTGCATATAAGGTATAAAGTTTACCTTCGACCAAACGCCCCCCAAAGGAATCCCAGCACCCCCCTTTTGTAAAAATTTCCGCCAGCGCCCCCTGCCGTCCTCTGAACGTCCACTGGGGGGCGGTACCGCCCACGTTGAGAACCGCTACAATATCACAACTATAGTTCCAGAGCAATTAATTATTTAATATAATGTTAATATTGTCATCATCTCTCTCTCAATAAACAGTTAATCTACCTTCATAGGGTGTTTTCACACCTGATAGTCCAGGAAACTTGGTTCGATTAGAGATTAAAACTGCAATATTTGTTCCATTTTCAGCTGCTGCAGTTCTCTTCCACACCAAACTGTGTGGAACCAACCAAACCATTTGAAAAGCCTGTTCACCTCATCTGTGATGGAGCTGCAGCAACAACTGAAGGAAACGACATGAAAATATCTGAAAACAATGAGTGCAACTTCCTCCTTTTCAAAATATAAACAAAAATGGAGTGGATTCACTCCATTTTTGGAGTGATGCCACTAGTGTGAATGTAACACACTTTACATTCACTCTAAGCACTTTCGGTGTGAATGCCCCTGAAGTGCTTAGACCATTTCCAAAAGCAGTAGAGAACTAAATGGAAGTATTAAAAAAATGCAAAATATAAATTTTATAATAACAATTATTAATTTTATTTTTAATGCCCATTATGTCTCAAATTGAAATCTCAAAGATCACATTCACACGCAGATGATGGAAAGCTACTGCCTTGTAGCTACAGCTGCACTGGGTCAGTCTGTCAGGGGTCAGGCTGCAATTTTGCACCATCAACCATCCTGACCAACACCAGTAGGAAAGGTGGTAGAAGTGTATTACCCAGGAACACAAATGGTGAAGGCGGGCGGACCAGGAATCAAACTAGCAATCCACCGATTGCAGGGTGAAGTTCTACTGCCGTTGCCAACATGAATTTTGCATGACAAGTCTTTAAAAGTGCATTTTATGTTAGTTTTAGTTTAAAAAAGAAGCTTTATAAACAAAAACTGTAATTAGCTTTTTCTTCATTTTGCAAGTTGATGGTCAAAAACCAAAATATTTTGGTGGAATTTTAAGTGGAAGTGATGCAATAAGTAATAACATTTTAGGTCACAATTCATTTTGATTATATGAACTTGAAAAAGAAATAATGGGGAGCATTGGGCTATGTTAGATTTAAATGTATCAAATAAAAGTTCAAAGTTAACCTATATTAGCCAAGGAATCAGGAAATGTAATTCCCAGATATCCAATACCTGACCTATGAAAACTAAAGTCTCCAGCCTTAAACAAAGTTCTGTCAGAGGCAGTGCTTCAGATTTTGACCAGTTAACTTTATATCCCTATATATTGGAAACGGTTTTTAAAAAGGCAGGGAGGGTCTTCAGGTCATGAAACCAAGACCAGGGAATCGTCCACATAAAGTATCAGCTTAAGATTCGCATTATTGATTCAGACACCAGAAATCTGGGTCCCTGCATAATTTTGCGGATTTTCGCTCTAGTTCCAAAATCAGACCAGAAAGCAGTGGGCAGTCCTACCTAGTCCATGATTTTGATTCTTTGATGAGTTGTTAATGAGATCAAAGTATACGTTCAATCTCACAACGCGTTATAAATCTATATAACTTTTTGTCCACTTTCTCCCTGTACCCTCTATTAATCCTAGTAGCCTGAATCTGTATGACATTTTCAAACTACCCTCATTAGAGTCAGATTAAGAGCACAGACTCTGAAAACGTGACTCATCATCTTGTGGTTTGTCTAAAGGAAGCATGGGCAGAACAGAATCAGATGGCATGGAAATTCTTACTATTTATTGTACTCACAGAGCATTGTCGAATTTCCCAGAACTATACTGGTGGACATATGAGGAGTAAGCCAAGTCTTCATGGGCTGAGGCAACGTGGATGTTCTTCCCTCCGAACACAGACTGTCGGATGTCCAGGGCGGTCTACAACAAGCGCATGCAAAAAGTTCGCTCAGACAAAGTCAGTCAACAGCAAAAAGTTGGTAGCCAGGAACCCTGAACATCATGCTTACCTGGTAAATAGCAACCGATTGGCATATGTTGTCCACATTTAACAAGTAAAATCCATAATCTAGCAGTGTGTCAGAGTACTTGGGATGCTTGTGTCCAAAATGTTCTCTGGGAGGTAGTACACAGAGCATCAAAATGCATGATAAAGATTTGAGTTTTACTCATCTGCACTTGCTTGTTAAACACAGCAGGTTACCTTGCTAGAAACACTGCATGTTTGATCAGCTGCTCTGCTTTCCTGAACTCCCTCTTCACCACACAAGCCTGGAGCAGAGAGACGAAACAAAATGTATTCTTAAGTAACACCATGGTAATGGCACAATAATGCAACTTTGAGAATGTCAGTTAATACTTAAATTCTAATGAACATTTAACACTGAAACTGGAAGACATTTTAAATATCCAACAAAGATAAACAAAACAACAGAAACAACAAAGTGAATTATAAAATCTCTGTAAACAAAATTGTTCTTCAAAAAATGTTCTTGATGGAAAAAGAGAAAAATAATAAATCATGAAAATTATTGAGCTTGTTTTAATTAATCATGCAATTAACTCATTTATTGCTTACTGCAACAGGCCTATTCAGGTCTGGATTTTGATTAGGTTATTCCAGTGTATAAATATGCTTTACTCTAAACCAGTGTTTCTCAAACTTTTTCAGGCCGAGAACCTCTTAACCCATTTAACAGTCACAGACCACCAAACCTGAAATTGCCCAGCGATAACATCTTAATATATGTTGCAACCTGAAATGAAAACTACGACAAAGACGTGAACAGGTCTACTTGGACATTTTGAGTTATTTACAGATTCCGAAAGTGTCTAAGTTTTCCAATGATGTCAAACACATGGAAATAAAAAAAGAAGTGTTCATTACAACTTATTCAATTGTAATGAACAACTGAAGCTGGCTGGTCTATTACATAAATGCAAAAATTGGTATTAGTATACTGACAAAATGCATAGAAGTTTGATGGGTACAATGACCTACTGTATGGAACTGTGTTTGTCAGCCAAACTGGGGTTTACCTTGGATGCTTGTCGGAGAACATCTATGACTACTTTGACAGGCAGCCCTGGAGTAATTTCCTTCATAGCTTCTATACACCACCTGTATGCCTAGAAGATAACCAAGAAATAAAAAAAATGAGTTACAGAATTTTCAGCACAAACACAGACAGTGCCATAAGCTGTTAAACATTTTACCTCATCGTAGTGACTTTTGGCGAAGAGCAAGGCACAGAGCTCGCCGTACAGAGCTGCCTTGTTGGCCTGGTGGCCATGTTTGGCTAGTTTATCCATGTAAGACTGAGCAAGCTTGAATGTCTCCTCCCCAAGGTGGTACTTGCAGTTGCCGTTGCGGACATGAAGCAACCTTAAGTGAGAGGAGGAAGCTTCAACAACAATCAAGTCTTTCTAGTTCTGTCCTCATTAGCTGCTGCGTGGTCCATAAAAGGACCACACAGAGACATGTATGGTAAATGGTATTCAACATTCGTTAAATACCAAAAAGACTTAACATTGAAGGAGCTTGTGTGAATAGTAAGAGAGAGTGGGGATCTCTGGCAACAGCCCTTCTTGATTTTAATTGACTTTGGAAGTATTTTGTTTGATACAATTTCTGCTGTTTAATTATTATATAGTACTTTAACCCATTTGATAAAGTTACTTTCACAACCCAACCTTTTCAGTATGTTAAAAAGATAAAGCCATTCAACCCCATCAAAACCCTTTTTCGCGCCCAATGAATGAAGAGCTGAATCATTAGCGTTCTTTTTGAGCCAAACAATATTCAGTACTCTTCTAATATTGTGATATCCTTGCCTCCCAACAATAAACCCTCTCATACCTATTTATTATGTCTGATTGTATTACTTGCAACCATTTTACCAATAGTTTGCAGATAATTTTGAGATTGACGCTGAGTAAATTGACAGATCTCAGGTTTTCACACTTATTAGAGGGTTTACCCGGCTCTGGCAGTAGAATGATTAGAGCCTGATTCAGGGAGGGAAGCAGGATGCCTTTTCTGAATGACTAGAAACATGTCAAGAAGAGGTAAATTATTTTATCCTGTATGTATGATATTATAGCCTGGTATCATATATACAGTTTTGAATTTCTGGTAAGCAGGTCCTACTTGCTTACCAGATGTCATTCCATCAATTCCCTATGCCAATTCCTCCTTATTTCTATTTTTAAATCAACTCTACCATGATCTGAGATAACAGGGATATGTAGCCCCTTCAAAAACTTATCTAATTCCATTTGGTCAAAATTTCCTTGGGTATCATATAATTTCTGTTAATAATCTTTTTTTTTTTAAAAACCCATTAATATCCCTGGGATCCATTAAAGTTTTATCCTGTGTTACAATTGATGTGACAGATGTTGCTTCAAGCTGTTTGATATGCCAAGCTAAAAGTTTTCCAGTTTTATTCCCTTGTTAATAAAAAGATTGTTTTATTCAGTCTCAAGAGACTGGATGCAGCTCTGAAACTGGACTGTTTATCTTATCCTGCTGTTAGGAGCAGCAGTTTTTTTTTTCCAATTGTCATTTGTTTGAAAAATCCTCTCCTGAGTGGTCTTTATTTTATTTTCTACATACAGCCAATTAATTTTGGCATTCTTTGATTTATTTCCTGTATAGCTAATAATATGTCCTCTAATAAATGCTTTAACAGTATCCCATCTAATCCATGCTATTGTTTGATTAGTATACAACTGAAATAACTCATCAATTTGTAACCCAGTATATTTAACAAATTCCTCATCCTACAGCCATTTATGCTGAAAACACCATCCACAAGGGTCCCTGGTTAGATTCTCATCACTGTAGCCAAGACAAGACAGTGCCTGATCTCAGATCACTATGCTACCATACATACAGCGCTGAAAGTGAGAGGAATAAGTCCTGAAAGAACTCGGAGTCATTGTGTTAAGACCATAGAAATTCACCAGGTTCATGTTTTCTAATAATAAAGAGCCCTGAACCATCTCCCTCCTGCATTTGTACACCTCCCATTATCACATGTAACCAATCTACAACCACAGAGTCTAACCACTCTATAACCAAAAAAAAAGTTTTTACTACTGATGCTGTTCGCTATATAGAAAACAGAAATTTAACTTTCCATGCTACATGTTTCCACAAGGGTTTGAACATATTAATGTGCACACAGACTGAGATGTGTGTGCATCATCTTGGCATACCTAAGCAGAACTAAAAGTGTTCATAGTAAATTACTGTTTCAATATCACCAGTACAAATCAATAAAGGCACCATCAAAGTTATACAACATTACAGGAGAATCACAAATTACTCATTTAAGAAACCAATTCTGCTTTCAGCCCATTGTCATCTCCTAATCTGTTTTCTTCTGGATCTTCTTTACAAACTCATGTGTTACCACCGGGGTTTTTAAAATTAAGTTTGGTCACCAGTAGCTGTGAGTTGTGCCACAAGTCAAGCCGTGGCGCAATACAAGTTTGCGCAGCTCCGTGCGTATCAGGTCAAACTGCTTCCGAAGCTGGTGCAGACCAGCCGTGGTATCTGAGTAGAACCATACTTGTTGATTCTGGTAGCGAATGTCTGTCTTAGCCCTTGATGCTACGGCAGTAAGCTGTTTATCCTTGTGACTGAGGAATCTCAGTATTAAAGTATGAAGCGCTGCTCTTTCCATGACCACTGCTCAGATGTCCAGGGTCTCCAGCAGCCACTTCTCCAGGAACTCACTCAACCTACCGGGCTCCCTCCGGTAGGTTGACCAGCCTCAGATTGCCTCCAGATCTATAACTTTATCCTCCAAGTCTTTCTTCTTGGACTCTAGCATATCTACTGTATCTCATCGTGTTTCTATCTCACACTCAGCATCAGCAATGTAAGCGTCGATTTCTGCTATTTGATGGATACACTCATTTATCTCTTTTGTCAAACTGTTGATGGACCCCATAACTTCGTCAAATCTAGAGGAGAAATTCTTTTGGATAGAATTAACAATAGACAGTATTTCCTCCACTTCACTACTTTGAGACTTTGGGTTCTCCTCTCTGTCTGTGACAGCCATTAGAGCTGAGCAGAAAGCATTAGCTTTCTGCATTTCACCTAGAAGATGCTCATCTGTCAGCATATGCTGTTTTGCTTTCTTACTTGCATTTTATGGCACTTTTGCTGCTTTAGGTGTTATTCCGCGATCTCTAGCAATTTAATTTGTTTTGAAAGGAAGGAATTTTAGAAAAATTTGTTGACACGGATAGCAGAGTGGTAGAACCACATCCCCTCACATAACCAATCTAACCTATCCAAAGGTCTTTAGTTTTGATCATGAGTTTGGATTTCCAGGCTTATAAGAAAATTACACTAAAATGGGTCACAACAAGCCATCTGTCCGTTTTACAAGGTATTTGTGGGATTGTTGCAGCCTTGCCTCTTACCTCCAGACACTTTCACAACCTTTCCCTGAACATGTGCTAAAGACACCTCATATAAGGACTTTATGAAGAGCAATATTACAAGTGACAACAACCTAAACCACAACCCATAATAAGAAACCAACAAAGCATTCAGGATGAGAGGTGGAACATCTTCAAGAAAAGAAGTAATCCACATCCATCCATGAAAGCACTCAGGATCATCTGACAAAGAGAGCTGCCACAGAGAGATGCTAGATGACATCAATAGTCAGCAACATAAAATAGAGACATCCAAATGTCCGAAGTTTTTCTGGTCTGACAATGTAAATAAAATCTACAGATAACTGTAAGGGAAACTCAATTAAAACAACTGTAGATGAACAAGCTGTTGTAAGACTCACCTGACGCAGCATTCCACAGCTCTGTAACAGTGGAGCACCTCACTGTGGAGAGTGCACAGCTGCAGGCACGACAGAAACACTTTCTCTGCATCGCCATACCAGCCAGCATCTGACAAAAAGCCACCTGCAAACAAAGAGGAAACATTACATCCAATCATTCTGCACAATCATTCTAGACATTCTTGTTTCATTCATCAATCCTTGACATTAATAGCAGTGCCATAGGACATGTGATGTACACAGACTCCCAGAATCTAAGCGCCATGTTCCATCCAAACCCTCTCAGTGTGTCAGTGTGGAAACTTTACCCAGTACAAAGCCAAACTGGATGGCCTTCTCTTTGACATGGGCATCAGACTCTGCAATGTATGAGCAACGACGGCTGAATGAGTTTGCTAGAACTGAAGCCACTTTCACACCGTGGTCCATGAGGGCCTGGAAGCAGTGGTGCAGGAGGTGTCTGCCATGGGGACAAAAAGGAAGGTTACCACCTCACTACAGGCACCGATCAGGGCTTCCATGGCTGAAAAGTTGTCCAAAGCTTAAAACATTTGTTGTTTTATATTGGAACACTGATTCTTGCTGGAATACATTCTTCATGTAAGCAGCGCCATACAGCTATTTACAATGTACAGGTAAATTGAAAATTATAATTAACAGAAGTTAAGGTTTTATAACATCCATCTGTGTGTAATTAATCCATATTGTGATCTGGGTCTGCTCTACAATGACAAAATCTATGCCTGAGTCACAGTAGACTTAACCATTCATTAACAGGGCTTCATGAAACACCATTAAAATGTGAGAAGTGAGCAGACAGAAACAGAAGCAGCTAGGAGAAGAGCAGAGTGATAAGAGGGAAGGGCTGATGGTGAGGCTCTCACCGTTTGTCTGAGGCACGGAGCACTTTAGCGAACACCTCCAGCTCACAGAACTCTCCTCCCAGCTGGCAGAGTCTTCCCTGCTGGTACAACTGAAACAGAAACATGGGGATGCATAGTGCATTATGATCACAATTCACATGAACTTGGGATGAACCTGATAAAAAAACATGTGGAGAACAACATGGTGGACACTAGGCTACAGTACATCATGAGTTTTTTTGGGCGTGTTTTAATGATTCTTTGGACAATGTTGTCTGCTGTTCATGAGTTGAAACAATACAGAGTTTGCTGATGTCTAGTCTGTCATCAGAATGCAGTGAGGTGGAACTAGTTGAATACTCCATAGTGAAGCCTTCACAGTGCACCAGCAGCCACTGGGTGAGCTCACACACACAGTTCATTTGGCTTCTGCTTTAAAGTTAAGAGATATGATTTTGTAAATTAAAAAGCAGTCTTCTCAAAATTCTAAATGATCATATAAATGTTGTGTTGGTCCATCTGTAAAGTCCCATTCACCCCCTTTGGCAATTTATACTGCCATTTCAAACGTACATGGAGTCTTTGTGCTCCTTCATATTTCCACATATTCCTGGAACAAACCATTTCTAACAAAAGGAAGGCATCACATATCAGTTTCACTTCTTTTAAGTATTTTGGAATTCTAGAACTAACTAAAAAGGCTCAAATCTCAGAACGTGACTTAATTAGGGCCGAAACAAATGGAATAATTGTGATGAATCAATTATTTAAATAATTGTAAACTAACTTAGTAATTGGTTAATTGTTAACCGAAGAAACAGACTCGCAAAAGGCCATTTTTGAACAACACACTCAGCACAGTAATTAAGCCAAAACTGTACAATGTTGTTCTGATTTTACTTGACCTAACTGCTGCCTTTGATACAGTAGACCACAACATTTTAATATCGCGATTACACCATGTTGTAGGTATTGGTGGCACCGTTCTTAAATGGTTCCAGAGTTACCTGGTTACAGAACATTTTCAGTGAATATTAGTGACTCTGAATCATCTGCTGCTTCAATGCCATATGGTGTCCCGCAGGGCTCAATTCTGGGCCCACTGCTTTTCTCTCTGTATTTACTGCCTCTGGGTTTAATCCTCAGGAAACATGGGATTTAATTTCATTGCTATGCTGACGATTGCCAGATTTATTTGCCCCTGAAGCAGAAGGATGTCCATTCCATCAAACATCTCCTGGCATGTCTAGGTGATTTTAAAGCTTGGTTGGCCTTGAGCTTTTTAAATTTTAATGAAAAGAAAACAGAGGTGATGGTGTTTGGACCCAGTGGCTCCTGTGAGTCCTCCTCTGTTGACCTGGGACCCTTGGAGGTTTATTTTAAACCTGTTATTACAGATCTTGGTTTTAAGGTGGACAGTGATTTCAAATTGGACAGCCAAATCAGAGCCGTGGTTAAGTCCAGTTTTTATCATTTAAGGCGATTGGCGTCAGTGAAATCTTTTCTTTCCAGGCAGCATTTTGAAACAGTGATCCACGCTTTTATTTCGACTCGACTGGATTACTGTAACTCACTATCTGGGAGTCAGTCAGTCGCTGCTCTCAGGTCTGCAGCTGGTTCAGAATGCTCCTGCAAGACTTTTGACAGGAACTCGAAAGAGAGAGCATGTGACCCCTGTCCTGGCCTCACTTCACTGGCTGCCTGTATATTTTAGGATTCATTTTAAAATTCTTATGTTTGTTTTTAAATCACTACATAATCTTGCCCCAGCTTACCTCTCTGAGCTTCTTCACCCCTATATACTATATTGGTCTCTCAGGTCCGCAGATCAGCTGCTCTTGGAGGTACCGAGATCAAGAAGGAAGCTCATAGGGGACAGGGCTTTCTCTATCATGGGCCCCAAGTTATGGAACGACTTGCCTTTACAAGTTAGAGAGGCCCCTTCACTGTCCACTTTTAAAGCTCGTTTTAAAACCCATCTATTTTACTTGGCTTTCAACTCCAGCGGGATCTAGTTTTAAATTGTATTGGTTGGTTTGTTTTTAAACTGTAAGAGTTTTTATTTTTTATGTTTATTTATTTATTTATTTTAATTGCTATGTTGTGTTTTAATGTACAGCACTTTGTATCAGCTGTGGTTGTTTTAAAGTGCTTTAAGTGCTTTACCATACCAAATAAAGTTGGTATGGTATACATTTTAGATTTAATATGATAAACCTTTGTCTGTAAATAGATCTTGCTGTTACAGCTGAATTTCTTAAGACCTTTTCTATTTCTATTTAATTTCTGTTCTATTGAGAGCTCCTCAAGAGGCAGTTTTAGCTTCACCTGGTGAAGTTTAATTGTGTTGCTGTTTTTTTAACAAAAGTTTGATTCATATTCTGTTAAAAAAAATCTCCTACTAAGCACCTTTTGCTCTGTAAATATTAATCGGTTAATAAAAAAAAATAGATCAACAGATCATCTCCTACACTGTATTGATTTATTTATTTTATTTAAGTTAAGCAGAAAGAGCTGAGATGCTTTTCACATGTTGTTAGGATTTATTTAGCTGTAGATGCATTGTTTGCTACACATGACCAAATGTTCACTATTATTTTATGAAAACTTGTTCAGAAATATAACCAGTTCTATCTCCTAAAAATCCCCAATAAGTCTATATTAGCACCTGCTTATAGTAATTTTTATCAGAGCTATAACATCACGTCATATCCTTACAGTTAGCAAAATACAGAAAGTCCTTTAACTAGTCTGTCATCAAAGATGATTTGAATCACTAACAGCAGGAACAGAACATCCAGTGGCAGATGGCTTGATGTTGTACAAAACATGCCAAACTAAAACGACACAAAATAGCTAAATTAATTTTGCATTTGTTCCTATTTTTTCAGGCAGGGCTCCATTCTTGACTCCTGCTATGTTTACAATGACCATACTGCCACCTTTAATCTCATAGTGGCCATTCCTTTGCACTGCGCTGACTCTTTATGTATTACAGGCTACATGGATGCTTACTGACCAATTAAAAAAAAAAAAAAAAAAAAAAAAAAAAACACAGGAAATATTTGAGACTCTATTTACTGTAATTGAAGAAAAGTCATTTTTGCAATTATTTTCCAATTTGGCGTCAGTGAATGTGTTGGTCATGGTAGAACCTACTGATGCAGGAATCATGTGGAAGAAGTCTGACAGAAATCCTAGTTAGCTTCTAAAATCAATTCTGCGGGAATTCCAGCAACTTGACCTTAGGCTCAACTGTTCAGTTTGATCATCAGCAACAGTTTTTGTTACTCCTTAATGTGGGACTATAGAAAACATGGACTCCTCTTGAGAAGCACGTGGTCTCAATAGCTGCTATGTTCACTCAGTTCTGGAGGCTCCAGCTCCTGCTGCAATCTTGTTTGCGTCTGGCGGACTGGCATATTAATAATCCAGTACATTACTTTTAGTTTCCATGAAAATGCTGGTGTGTCGATCCTGCTTCTTATTGGTTTGGCAACATGTTCTATTAGAGCTGAAATTTAAGTTGTAAAATTGATACTGTTGACATTCTTAACCACCAGCAACACAATAAACACAGGTCTTATATTTCCACATTACAGTCCTGTTGTGTTCAATGAAAAACATGTATATTTATCTGACTGACCTCCACATAGCCCATCCAAACTGTTATGAACAAATATTGTTTGCTGCTGACCGGAAGTCACAGGACTGTGATCTGATTTTGTTCATGATGAGATCAAGCACAATCTAATGAGTACAGTTTTATTTTGCTGTCATCAGCAAACTTAGAGATGCTATGAAATATCACTGCAGAAAAGTGATGTCACTTTTCTGCTGGCTAGTTGGTTGCAATCTGGCAACACTTGTCCTTTAATGAGACATTTAATGGAAAAAATACACCAACACTTCTGAGAATAATTGTGTATTTGTGGAATTTGGCATTTTTTATAACAAATAAAAACAATGAACTAAGAATAAAGTATAAACTAAAAATTGTTTACCCAAATCTACAACCAGTCCAGGTTTAACACAAGAACTTTACCCTTAGTCAAATGAGGCCTAGTTCTTGGGACCCAAGAAAATAAAGAGGCTGGTCCATGGAAAAGTTTTCTCCAATTGAAAAGCCCCATTTTCATGCAGGATCTGTTATTTAAAGTTGAGGAGCAGCTGCTAATCCTGAAAAACAGGATATGTTAAAAAAAAAAAAAACCCTCCTGTCTGTCTGGGTCAGTCATAACCCTTTGATGTAGCATAGGAACATTTTTAAGATGACACTTTCCAGCCTACTGTTAATATGGTACACACTAATGCAGCACATCAGTTTCCAGTGTTAGTCCGTTTCCCACAAGCTGCTGAGACTTTAGTTTCTGAAGCCTATCTTGTATAAAAACATAACATGGCTATACTGTTTACAGGTCATTGTTAAATAAATCAGTAATAATCTTAAATAATTTCATTACCGACATTCCTCCAAGTAGAGAGAGAAGAAAGTCTTAAAATAACAGCCAACGCGCAGATGTATAAACCCCACTGTTTGACATATAATGTCATGTTAAGAGTTAGTTTATTCATTAAGGCTGAGCTCGTTCCCCTTTAAGCCATTTTTCACTGTATATGTTAATCTTAGTCTTTTGTACTGAGCTATGGTTAGCAACAGCAGCTTCTCATAGAAACCCAGTCCTGCTTGTGAGACGCACCTGGGCGCCATGTCAGCTACATCTCACCTTATAGTAGACATCGAACTGGATATTTTCCGGTAGCGAGCGTATGTCCCTTCTTGAACGACTGTAGTTGTCCACCACAGCCGAGATAGCGGTGTTGTACAATGTTTCTGGTATCCATTCTAGCTCCGCCGCAGCCATGTTGTTTCTCCAAAAAGCCCAGCAGCTACAGCCCTCCTCAACTCTCTCTCCTACATTCGCTACCTTACTGCGACCAAAGCCCTTTCTCCGTGAGTCCTCATATAACGGTCGCAATGTAGGGAGGCTAGAATCAGTCGTGATACCGACAGGTTACTGCTGTAGCTTCAATTTCGCTGTGCAAATTCCCTTCATCTCCGATGTTTATTCGTCAACCCTTCAGCAGTTCCGTGCCCCCTTCCGGACGCTGACGCAGTGACGTAATAGTGCAGTCGATGAAAACGGTGAGCTCACTCCTTAACGGTCAGCCGGAAAACGACCCGAGGAGAAGTAATTACGAGCGTGGTGGGAAGAGGTGTAGAGACGAACCAAAGTTTCACCATTTTGTTTGTTTTTCACTTATATGGCTATAAGAAAAGCCATATACAATGTACACGGCTAGGGGAGTAAATTTGACAGTGTCACTGTAAACCAAAGAATACAAGACAGCGCAATCTCAGATGCGCAGTTTTTGATAAGATTATATAAAACAAACCTACAGTGGTTAAACACGGCCTGTAATACGTGCTGTGCTGTTCAGTAGATTCAGTCATTTGATTCAATAACTCTAAATATTTTTGTTCTTGATATCAAAAGTCCTTTAAATCATATGACCGAACTGGGATTACTAATGGATCGTAAACTCCGCCTACATGGTACTCCGGCCCCTTCGTCGGCTGGTAAATGATGCTTACCCATTTTATTTAACCCAGAGATTGAAGGGGCTGTTTTTTTGTTTTATTTTATTTTTTTACACATTTTTTTAAATAGGAAGAATAAAGATAAAATAATTGTAAAAGCAAAATAACGTGTTTTTGGCATCTTTAACAAAAGACAAATAGACCTAAGTCTTCTTTTAAGTATCATAGAATTTTAAATATGGCAATATCCTTCATTTTGTTTTTTAAGAAACATCCGTTCCTCTGTTTCAGGCTAAATCAACTGATATAGACACCAGATTTATAATAAAATATATTTGTGCTTAAACCAAGATCTATAACCTGCAACCAAAGGTGACAGATTAGGGGGGAACTAGTGTAGACGACTACAGTCTAGATGTTAGGACTAGATGTTGTGTGATCCACACTGAAGGCTATTAAGACACCAATACATCTAAAATCCAGACAGTGAAGTTTTTATCTGTGTTTGTGATGCACACAAGTACATTACTTTGAGATATGCCTTGAAAACAGTTCAAGTGCTTTGCATTATCAGTCTAAAAATGAACCTAAAACTTCCCGAAAGAAAGTTATTTTTTACCTAATTAGTAATCCCAATAACATACAGTGTTTTCCTGAATCATGTTTACAATGTACATTTTTTTAAAGCAGTCCAGTAGAATACCTGCTTTCCCATCCTCACCACCAGTCTGTGAGGAAGTCCAGGATCCATTTTGGAGTGAATAAACCGTTTTAAAGGCAAATTCTCTAATAGAAAATATGGCAAAACCCATTTGCAACAACATGATTGTAGTAAGCAGTGACAATAGTTAAAGTTAGTTAGTTTTTCACCAGGTAAAACATTAAGAACAATTTTGTATTTACAATGTTAGCTTGAAACTGCTATAGCAACATTTACACACATAATAAGTACCGTAATCATTCTGCAAAAAATGACATGACTACTTAAGGTTCTTTAGTCTGTGATTAAAAACAGGAAATAACATCAAAGTGTCAAGATGCAGTGTATTTTGATTTTAAAAAAATTACAGACATTTGCAGTAAGAAAACAGGAAGACAAAATGAGACTTGGTTCTAGGGACTGTCAGTTTAATAAGTTGGGAGGAATGAGTACTGTGTCGTCAAGAGGATTCTTGTTGTAGTGATTTAAATAATGACGAGAAAGATCTAGCTGGGTGCTATAAATGAACAAGAGCCAGTGGATGTTACAAGTCTGCAATAAAGACTATATACCTGACAGTTCAACAACAGAGGTGTGTTTTATAAGATGAATTAGAAATAGATTGAATGGCAGAATGACATATTGCATCCAGTTTAAGAATGTATTTGCAAGCATGTTATAAATCATGTCACCATAATCAAACAAAGTAACATAATAAGAATAAAAAAACAACATTGAAAATCTCAGTGTTTAAATTGCAACATAATGCTGTCTAGACTGCAGAGAAGAGGCTATCATCTACAACTTTTTAAACTGGTTTCCATTCTGATCGTGGGTGTGTCACAGCAGACTTTGCAAGATATGACAAAATATTGGCCTCAGGATATCAAGTTAACAGTCACCCTGATGTCAGTGGTCATTAAGTCTTTTGACCGACTGGTGTTGAAGCAGTCAACTAGTATCGACTGTTGAAGCAGTCAACAGTTCCCTCTGCAAACTGCAGAGGGGCAGGAGGCCCCCTGCTGGACCTCCTGCAATTTGCTTACCTGGCAAAGAGATCAGAAAAAGATAGTTAACTATCTTTCTTTAAAAAGGGCAATGAAATATATTAAAACTTATTTACAAGTATTTTTTTTTCTTGGACAGAAAAACAAAAATGACCACTTTCATTGGTCTCATCCGGGACACTGATGAGTTTGCATACAGACAAGAAGTTGATCAGCTGGTCTACTGATGTGGTCAGAACCTAGAGCTTAACCTGCTCAACACTGTTTAGATGACAATTGTAATTGTAATGCAATTTTACTAAGTATTGCTACTCTTACTCTCCCCCGGAACGTTAGCTGGAGATAGGCACCAGCACCCCTCCCGACCCCACAAGGGACAAGGGTGTACAGAAAATGGATGGATGGATGGATGGATGCTACTCTTACATGAGTAAAATTTCTGCTATTATTCATTCAGTCAGTCTTGTACACAATCACATCCATCAGTGCAGCTTGACTCAGCCACAAAACAAGACAGGCCCAGAGTGGCACGAACAACCAGGTCTGCATAGAAAATCTTCAGGGCTGACTCTCCAGGACTTGTTTCTCTGCAGACCCCACATATCAAACTGTTTAGACCTTCAGGTTTGTTTATGTTCGGGCGTACAGAGTGCCACTTAAAACCCAACTTCCACAGAGACAGTGTCTTTCCCTATTCAATGAACATCTATGCGAGACAAAAAATGGCATATTTGCACAATCATAAGCATTTTCTTTATTTTGATAAATGGCTGTACACACTCATGTACATACTGTTCATTTTTTTCCTTTTGCCATTTTCCATAAGATAGGTATAATGTGAGCACAGAAACCAAAGTCAAATTCCTCTTGGTACACACAATCTTAGTCAATAAATCTGATTCTGATTCTAAAGAAAGAGAGACAGCAAAAAATGTGCAGGCCTCTGCCAGCAACCTGCATTAAAGAACAACCAGCAGCTGCTGTGGTTTGAGTCCCTTCTTCAACTGAACACAATGCAGAACACATCAAGGTTAATGGTCAGTATAAGTCTAGGCGATCAGTAAAGGACATTAATAGTACACACCGGTTACATAAATGTGTCTGACAAGTCTGCAAAATAAAGAACTGTAACCACAACAAAACGCTTGAACTACAAGTTGCTAATTACACTGGTGTAGATTTCAGCTGTGCTCATGATTTTACATTATGTGGCCTATTTGCGTAGAAAATGTTTGGATTTACCTGTAGAGGGCAACAACCGCAGTGGCGTTGCCACGTCATTTAATCAGAAGAAAGCACTTTCTGACGTCAAGACGTACGGTTTGAGCATGCTTACTACGCCCGAACATAAACAAAGGCAAGACGTTTCTCCGCATTCAAATCTGACCCAGCTTCAATTTTATATTCCAACAAATCCGAAAACTTGAAAAGCTTTTTAGGGCTGGAACCATGGAAAACCCCTTGCTGATGCGAGTTAGTGTCTTTACTGACCAAGGAGGCAGGAAATACATGGAAGACGTGACCGAGGTCATAGTGGAGCCCGAGCCGGGGGAAGATGAGCCGACGCCGGGCGAGCAGGAGGCGGGTAATGGGGGAGCTTTTAGCGTTAGCTCTACAGCTGTGGATTCACATCCAGACATTAAAGATGGAAAAGCGGAGACTGAGCAGCTTACAGAATCATCAAGTGAACGAGTTCGAACTGAAGAAAAACACATTTTTGAGGAAACCATTTCACCGGGAAGCGAGTGTCCACCTCGAGATCAACCCAGTAACTCCAGCCGCTCCCGCCGTTCCGTGGCGTTCTTCGCGGTGTTCGATGGCCACGGGGGTAGCGAGGCTGCGCAGTTTGCGCGAGACTGTTTATGGGAATACATAAAGAAACAACGCGGGTTCTGGTCTGACTGTGACCGGGAGGTCTGCTCGGCTATACGCAAAGGATTTGTAGCCTGCCACCATGCTATGTGGAAGAAGCTACGTAAGTTTAACATCAGCTCCCAAAATTCTAATTAATATCAACCAGTCGGAAATTATGTAATCCTCATCTTTTTAAACATGGCCAAAAACCTGACTTTGTGGAACGTACAGGAATGTTTTGCCGACACCTAGTTACTGCTATCTTACTCGAAGGTTCTACGGCAACAGTAATTTTCCACTGTCTGTCAAGTGTTTTATTGTTCCAAGACCACCATGAGTTGTTTGTTTCATTTTAAACGCAGGTTGAGTCGGGTTTAGGTATAAATAAGAGTATTTTCTTTCTTTTCAAATTTAATATGACCGCTAACGTAACTGAAGTCAGTATCGGATTCAATGCCTCTGAATTTTTGTTTGTGTAAAGGGTCATTCCGTTGTCTTTTAAAGATTTGGATTTCATTTCCTCGACTCTAAAGATGTTAAAGATAGGGGTGTCCAAAGTCAGTCTCTCAAAGGCCGGTATCCTTCATGTTTTAGTTCTCTCGTTGGGGTTGGTAACGACCTCCTTAGCATGCCATTGTTCTGCAGAAGCCTGCAAATGAGCCATCATTTGGTCCAGGTGTGTTGAATCAGGGAGATATTCAAAACATGCAGGATACCCGCACTTGAGGAGTGACTTTGGACATCTCTGTGTTAAGGTGAATAATTCTAATTTCTATTTTAATAAAACTGTAATCAATTACATTTGTACTCCGTCTTCAAAAATACAAATACAGATCCAAATACATTGTATGATAGTCACATGTATGACCTAATATAACGTCTATTCTAGTTATGAAAGTTTTGAGGATTTCAAATCCTGTGCTTCTTGCATTTTAAATAAAACTGGATCAGGGGCAGACAACTGCCTTTAGTCTCATAAATCAAAAAATGTATTTTAAAGCACTAGTTAAAGCACATATATGGTCTTTCCCGTTTTAGCCAAGTCAAGTCAAAGTTTATTGATATAGCACATTTACAATAGCCTCAGCTGACCAAAATGCTTCACAACACACATCACAGTTAGATAATAGAAATAAAATTAAGCTTAGTAAAACTAATAAGACAAATATAAAATTAGCAGAGATAACAAAAGTTAATGGCATGAATGGAAACCAAACAATTTAAAATTTTAGCTGCAACAATTATCTTCCATCCTTTACCTTTTCTCTTTAAGGCTAGTGAGGATAGATAAGTTTTCAGGCTGGACTTAAACTGACCTACTTGCTGAGAACGCTTAACAGACGGATGGACATCAGGTCCTGAGGAGCAGTGTTGAAAACCTGAGTTTTAAAGAATCTATGCTGTGTAGACCAGTGTTGTCCAAAGTAAGTTCTCCATGACATTGAAAACCATTGTATGGGTCACTGGTATGTCCGTCTTCAGATAAAATTTAATGCCACGATAAGGAGCTAATTAGGTCACTTGAATCAGATGTGTTGGAACAGAAACATTTCTGAAACACAGGACACTGGCCTTTGTGGATGAAATAAATTCTTGAAAAAGGAAGAAAGGAAAGGATGGTGGTTTTATAAAATCCAAAGGAAATTTTGAGAAATGAGAAGATCAGGAAGGAATGGGAGAGAAGAGACAATTATTCTACAATTCGGAACTGAATAGTCCAGTGTGTCCATTTCTTATTTTTAAGAAGGAAACGGGGAAAATGTGATTGTGGGGAAGATGAGACAATATCACCAGATTCAGAAAATCAAGTTAGTTAATCTTTAGTAATATGAAAATGAAATTAGACATTGTTGATTTATTGCAGAAAGATTCAGGAAGCAGAGGATATCAGGCTATGTTTTATTTTTTAAAACAGTGTTATTTGCATAACAGGGTAATTTATTCTTTTTGTCGCATGGTCTACACTCCTTTCTGGTTGGTGGCGGTAAAGCTTCCTTCAGTTATGTGCTAAATGCCAAGAAGAAATTCTTGAAAATGAGTCTTGGTATTTATCCAAGGATCTACAGTAAAACTATGGAATATTTGTTGTAGTAGCATAGGCAATTCTTTAGCATGATATTCTCAGAGTTTGTTGTCAACTCATGGGATCTGTGAGAAATAAATTCCTGAACACGAGACAAAGTATACCCTATAGAAGTACTTGCATGAGGCTGCAAAATCTACAGAAGAAATGATTATATATGTATTCTGGATATAGCATATGGTAGTAGTAGTTGCGTGTAATTCCGATTGTGCCAGCAAGGGTACCTCTGCTTCTCTATCAATGTAATCTAACATGCATGAAGCCAGTCTTTAGGGAGAGCCAATGTCAGCTGACTTTACCTCAGTCAGTGTAGACTAGGCTTGGCTGTTCTGTGTCTTGCAGCTTTCAGTTTCGATTCAGTTTAGTGGTCTACATAGAGGCTGTGAGGTATTATGAAATGATACATTTGATTTACTATGGCTGCATACAGCAATGGCAATGTAAGTATATATTTTCCTCTCCTTTTTTGTGATATGCTTCTACCAGAGACTGACATTTTAGCATATTTCCAGCAAATAAAAGATCTGAAATGTGAATTTATGATCAAATGGAAGCTATTACAGAAGCCATTTGCAGTGTAGACATGCCAAAAGATAATCAAAACTGTATTGTTTTCACAAGTGAAGTGAAAGTTTTGCAAATCGATAGATAATAATTGTGTACATGTTTGACTTATGATTGCAGCCATATATGAAAATCCAAAATGGCATACAATGAACTCGTGTGTTAAATCGGATGCCAACTTCAGCCCTGTACGTAGCTAGCGGTGTTAGCTGTAGCAGTGTTAGCTGCTGCCACCGAGTCAGGGACTATAAACAAAGCACCTAACCCTATCACCGAGGATGTTCACGGAATCAAGCAGAGCTGATTCAAAACTATAAACGACATCTGTTGTGTTTATAGTCAAACATGAAATTTAGTTTCTATAGTTAGCTTGGATGACTATAGACATGTTTTGCTGAGTTTGGGTTGTTCAGATACTGTCTCAGTGGGTGTGTTTGTGTCGGGCTGGACTTGCCGGGGCATGTCAGCTGCATTTTTAAGCAAGTCACAGTTTCTATCCCGGTAGTTACACTGCACATGTCTGTTGAGGTCAGCGTTACGCCAGTTTCTGGACGATGCTTGTCCTTAAAATCTGAGCTACTATCAGAGAACTAAGCTTAAAAACAGAAGGAAAAAAACTGCTGAGCAACAATGATATTATAATCATTTTTATGCATATATATTTTTGAATGCACTTTTCTGTACCGTACATTGTTTTTTGGTGTCAGCCAAGTGGTTAACATGGAACCCCTAATGAGCATTAAACAATCAGTAAACATGTATTGTCTTTGTATTGTTCTTCACAGCTGAATGGCCAAAAACTCTCACAGGGCTTCCTAGTACATCAGGCACCACAGCCAGTGTTGTAGTGCTCAGAGGAAACCGCATGTATGTGGCTCATGTTGGAGATTCAGCCATAGTTCTGGGTGTCCAGGATGATCCTTCAGTCCCATTCATCAAAGCTGTCGAAGTGACCCAGGACCACAAGCCTGAATTACCCAAAGAGAGAGAACGTATTGAAGGTCTTGGAGGAAGGTAAACCAACATTTTTCTCTGGCTCTGCACACATTGATGACAGGCTAAATCAGGAACATTTAGAAGTAGACACTGCTGTAATATCTGGAAATTTTGGATTAATCGGAAAGGAATGACTAGAGCAACAATAAAAAATGCCTAAATATCTTTCTGGATGAGAACCCACTGAAGCTTTGGGGGATGGGCGTTTTCATAAATTAACCAATAATGATACTGTATCGATCCCAGTATTGAAAAATAATCTAGCTCGGGTATCAGTGACAATGTTACCAATCCATAAGACGGATCTATTCAGTCTAATGCTATGCTTTGTGCTCTGAGTGACATCATTCTTTCTTTGGAAAGAAAGTTTGTTGCAGCATATTTTTTTAGTTGTACATCTTTGACCTAATTGAACTGAACAAATTAAAGTTGTGTTGTTTTTACATGTTTGACCAAGCTTGTGAAGCTATTGGTGTATTTAAGGGTACTGTAGGCCTTGTTTTTTGCAGTTTTATGCAGCCTTTGAAAAGATTTTAGATGTTTGTAGTTTCTGTCACCAGAACTTGCTTCACTTGCTCTACAAGTCAGAGGAACATGCAGGTAAATGTTGGGTGAAATGAGGCTGGAGCAATACTTACTGTTGTAAAGGTTGTGGATTAAATCATGAGTAATGACTATAATGTTATTTTACATAGCCAGCTGAAATTCCACTTCGGTTGCAATTTTTCTCCCAGATTAAGTGGGTGAAGCTACTTTAAAAACACAAGGTTTATTCTAGCATGTTTACATGAAGTCAAATTGCTTAAAATCTTATTTTTTTTTATTTGATTTCATTGTCATTAGAAGTTTATTAGAATTTTAATATTTTAATCCTAGATCTGTTCACTGTGGATGAGAGTAGTAAGTTTCATACAGAAGTAGGTTTGACCTGTTGCTGTGACAAGAAATGTATTAAAGGAGGTGAGCAACACCTTACTGTTGCTTAAAACTTATTTTATGTGGACTTTGCTTGATGCACATATAAACCCCTCTCTTCTTGTATCTCTCTCAGTGTGATCAAGAAGTCAGGAGTGAACCGTGTGGTCTGGAAGAGGCCCAGACTAAGTCACAATGGTCCAGTTCGTCGGAGCACCGTTATTGACCAGATACCTTTCTTGGCTGTTGCTCGAGCTTTAGGTGAGAAACAACCAACAAGACAATTTCAATCAATTACGCCACAGCTGGTGCTGCCTGAACAGATGATTTGGCCATTCAGAAAGCTCAGAAATTTATTTCAGAAGCTTAAATATTAATATTAACTTAAAAAAATAAACCATTGTAGCAACAATGACTGCAACAATCCGGCTAATAATAATCAATGTTGTTTATAATGCCCTTTATATATCAAATTGAAACCTTAAAGACCAAATTCACATGCAGATGATGGAAAGCTACTGGATTGTAGCTACAGACTGGGGCAGTCTGACGGAAGCCAGGCAGTAGTTTTGTGCCGTCATCCATTCTGACCAACACCAGCAGGCAAGGCGGGTGAAGTGTCTTAATCAGGGACACAAATGACGACGTCATCTTGTACATCTTCATTACAGAGGCATGAGTTACATCAATAAACATACTGGAAACCATTCTGTTCATCTTTTTAAAATTCTACAAAAAAATAAAGAAACATTCATTACTTTGATAGTGAGTTGGATGTCATTACATAAAAAGTTCTATGGCAGGAGGAATTGTCAGTGTGGTGTGGATTACTTTCAAGGCAACATCTATCTGGAGCTTGTGATTACAACTGATGGCATTTGTGTGCGTGTTTTTTTTTTTACCTTTAACACCTTCTTAAAACACGATGGTCTTTTTTCCATCATTAATGCAGCTTCATTGATATTTATTATTTCACTTCCACAACACAGGTGATTTGTGGAGTTATGACTTCTACAGCGGAGAGTTTGTGGTTTCTCCTGAGCCAGACACCAGCGTTGTTATTCTTGACCCTCGAAAGCACCGCTACATCGTCCTGGGGAGTGATGGTCTTTGGAATATGGTGCCACCTCAAGAGGCCATCTCCATGTGTCAGAAGAACGATGAGGAAATGGTAAGCTGTTTGGGTTGATGTGATTCTCTGGTACTTTGTAGTTTTTATATTAACGGTCAGATAAGGAAGCCTGGTCAAAAGACTGTTTCATGTGTAATGGCTAATCAATAAGGTCTATCTCATTATCAACCATCATCAGAACAATAACAAGCATTCATCATTCCAGGTACCATCTGGCATTTCAAGTGCCAGGCAGCTTGTGAGCCATTCGTTGCTGCGGTGGCGCCAGCGCATGTTGCGTGCTGACAACACCAGCGCTATTGTGATTGCCCTGCTGGAAACTGGGGGCTCCAAAGAAACATTCCACAATGAAGAGGTGCTACTGGACCTGGCCAAAGTGTCCCAGTGTCCTCCTACATCTATATCTCGTGCAGACACTCCGCTCCTACAGGTAAGGATGACTCAAAGCAAATTCTTTTAGACGCTCACAATTTAGAATAATTCTCACAATGAAACCAGCCATTTTTTCATTGGTTTTAAATATTCCATTTCATTTAACGCATCCTTTTATGAGATACTGCATTTTGAAAAACTTTAATTGATATTCCTGCTTAATAACCCACCTATGTTTATGGTTCCAGCAGCAACCTCCAGATGAAGACTCTACCTCTGCCATGTCTGAGCTGCTCCCTGCTCTGGAGCGACGGGATGGACTATCTGGAAGCAACAGTTTCTACCACATGACTCTGTCGGACCCTTTTAGTCTGTCACCTCTGTGTTCAAACAGCACCATGGACTCGCCCAGTCACTCCAGTCTAGCTGACAGAACAGTAAGCGGGAAGACATCCATCAAAAGAACTCTGAATGGATCCCCTTCGTCAGGCCTTTTGACAAAGAAGGCTAAACGCAGAACTGACAGGCCTCCGCTGGTCCAGCACAACACTGAGGAGAAACAGAAGGAATCTGTCTCTCCCATTCTACAGCAGCATAACAAGACCACAGTGTGTGTCTGCTGAAAACACACACCAGCTGTTATCTTTGTCTCCCATGGCTTCCTGTTTGGGATGATTGCATCTCTGACATGGTCACAGAGCAACCTTGGTTAAAGGTTGGGCTAAATGTTTAATCAAATCCCACTTAAAACGTTTCCTCATCTGATTTTTTTGCTTTTGATTCCCAAAATGCAGGTGAAGCAGTATCGATGCTGAGGGAGGGGAACGCTTGTATCAGAATGTTGGGCTGCAGCCAGTTTACCATAAACATTATTGGCCTTACTGTGGTGGAGAACCTATGTTGGTTCCTAATAATACAAATTATTTTCTTCACCTTCAGTGTTTGGTATATTGTGGAAAAGTCACTTATTAAAATATGAATTGAAGAAAATTTATTTTAATTTGAAGTACACCCATTAGATCTTCTAAATACTGCATATTCAAATGTAAAGTGGGGCTTATGCTACCACAATGTGTGGTAATAAGTGGAAGAACTGGGTATGCATAATGTTACTGGTGTAAATATTATGAATTTTATAGCTGAGTATTTAAGTATGTGGAACTGTATGCAAAATGAATCTATTTTTATACATTATTTTATTGTGTGACAGAACATGAAAATTCCTTCTAGATGTGCACCCCACAGCTTCCATGTTAAATGGACCTTGAGTTTTGACATGTATTTTATTTAATCACTGAGTACTTATCTTGAATCTAAACAGAAGGTGCTACTACAGTAAACAAATCAGTAAGCTAGTACTCTGTATATTTATATGAATCGTCAGTGTGAGACAATGTTTGATTTTCTTATACATGTTAAACCCTTGATAAATATTGCATCATTTAGGAATCCTATTCCCTCATATATTTTATAGTTGTATTTTTAGTAACACTTTTCAACTGTTTGGTGTGTTTATTCTAGACATTTGCCCGTTCTCCAAAACTGTCTTCTGTCTCTCTGCATTTGCAGATGTTGGCAATTCTGTCTTAACAGATTTTTAAGACGGATCTGTTTTTGTAGCTGCACTAAAAGAAATTTAGAGTGATTTCATGAGTCTCATGAAATCAGTGGATTCTGTCTACGAGAATCTGTAGAATCAGTGTGTGCAATATTTACGTCACTAAGAACTGTTTGGAATACAACCAGTTTGACTTTATTTCAAGTGTCATAAATTTCCATTTTTCTCACTAATATAATATTCAGTTTGACAGACCTATAGCACACCAGATGTTCCTACCTGACACTAATGATATTATCCAAAATGCTAAAGGTCACAGAGTGATGGAAACAGAGATGAGACGGAGAGGAAAGTAGAAAATGGGCATATATGACAACTGATAGTTATTGCAATATTATCAGCAGCCCAAGATTTTCCAATATTGTGCAGTCATAGTTCTTACTGGAGATGGGCACGAGCATGATTGTCAGGACTAAGGCCCTCCTCCTGGCTCCAATAGGATGTTTCTAGTTATTGCTGAGAGGAACCAAATGAGCTCAATTATTTTTTACAGATCATCTGTCTTATACTATCATGACATAGTGACAGTTATCAAATATGTCATATTTTTAATAAAAGTTACTCCAGCTTTAATGTTGATTTGGTATTTTTAAGTGTGGCTAACAGACTGAATGACTTCCTTCACTTCCTCCTCTGTCAAACTACAGCGGTAGGCAGATTGCAGTTCTTGAACGGCACAGAAACTACATCACCATTCACAACGGCTCCTTTTTGCTGACTGGCCTAGTTAAAATCCACTTCAATAAGAGAAATCCAATATAGAACACTGAAGGGAGATGAGAATTATGTGGAATTAAGTAGGAAGGCAATTAAAATGATAAAAGAACCTAAAGATAAAAATCTGAGTTTGTGGCAGGGCTGTGAAACACCTGTCGAAGCGTCCTTGTTACAGACGTGTGAAGTTCTACATAAGCCAAGCCCTTTTGCCTTGAGGATTGGTGTAAAATTATTGTAAAAAAAATCAATCTGAACAGAATGACCAATACCCAAGACTGATGAATCTCCCAAACCCTGTTTGATGTTGCATGTGTTTTTTTCTTTTCCTTTCGCTGAGCAAATCGGTATGCTGCCTGGCATCACCAAATAAGCATCGTCTGTGTGAATCATTTGAGCACATGACACACACACGCACACACAGATCTGTCTCCCTCTCCAGTTGGTAGCATTATGGATTGTCAGGGAAAAATATTGTGTTGATCTACTCATCTTTATGTTTGACTCATTCTGTAGATATGTACATTCTGTTACCTGGCTTTGGGTCTCTTGATTCAGATCTGTAATTTTATTCTTGAAAAATGCTTATGAAATGTCATTTTTTCACTTCCAACCCTAGTTTTAAAAGCTGTTGTGCATGTCTACAGTGTAAATGTGGAGAAAAGCAAAACCACTTATTCCAGAAATGAACTTATTAAAATAATTTTCCCTGAAGTCAAATAATAAATTTTCACTTGTAGACATTTTTACTTTAACTTAGGTTAGGTAGTACTTTATTAATCTCAAGGAAACATACAGTTGTTTTCAAAAACAACATACAGTTGTTTTCAAAATAATAGCAGACCCACATCACTAGCAAGATAAAACATTGTTTGTGTTATAATTTCTTCTACACTACAAACAAGTTTCTAGAAGGTTTAGTAAAGGTATAGGATACCAACAGGCATGATATGCATGCTGCTAATTCTGTGAAACTGATTCATTTACTGAAAGGGGTGTGCTAAAACAAATAGCAGTGCAGTGCAGTTCAGTTAGTGAGGTCATTGATTATGTGAAAAAAAAATGTTATGCTGGTGACCCTTGTTGAAGGATCAAGGCAACTGACATTGCATGGGCTGGATTTGCATTTGTCCTTGGAAAAACAGTAAAAGGGGACACTCATGACACTTTTCAGAAGAAGAGCGTTTTTTGATAAAAAAAAAAATAATAAAAGAAGAAAAAAAAAACATAAAGAAGTGCAGAAAAGATAGGCTGTTCAGCTAAAATGATCTCAAACTCTTTAAAATGGCAGCCAAAACCAGAAAGGCGAGAAAGAAAATGGAAAACAATTATTTGAATGGAATGGTCAATAACCGAAATGGCAAAGGCTCAGCCAATGATCAGCTCCAGGAGGATCAACAAAGACCTGACATTGTCTGTGAGTACTTTAACAATCAGACATCTGCGTAAAGCCAAGCTACCAGCAAGAAACCTCTGCAAAGTCCCATTGTGAAAATAAAATGCATGTGCTGAAGCAGTTACAACTTACCAAAGAACACAGTGACTGGCCTACAAAGAAATTGAGTAATATTTTATGGACTGATGAGAGTGAGATTGTTCTTTCTGGTTCTAAGGGCCACAGACAGTTTGCCAGATGTCCTGCAAACACTGAATTCAAGCCACAGTACACAGTGAAGGCGGTGAAGGATGGTTCAAGCTTCATGAAGTGGGGATGTTTCTTGTACTATGGTGTACAAGAGGTCCTATATATCACATACCAGGGGTCATGGATCAGTATGAGTACACCAGAGTACTGGAAGAAGTCATGTTGCCGTATGCTGAAGAGGACATGCCCTTGAAATTTGTGTTTTGACAAGACAATGACCCCAAGCACACCACCAAAATCATGGTTCCATAAAAATAGAATTCAAATAATGGATCAGCACAATCCCTGGATCCTAATCCAATAGAAAATTTGTGGGCTGACATAAAAAAATGCTGTTTGTCAGGCAAAACCAAAAAATGCAGAGGAATTGTGGAACATAGTACAACTGTACTGGGCTGCAATACCTGTTGACGGGTGTCTGAAATTGATTGACTCCATGGACCACAGATGTGAAGCAGTTATCAGAAACCTTGGTTATGCAACTAAATATTAGTTTATAATTCTGAGGAAAGTTGAATTTTCAGACATTTCTTATATTATACAGTATATTTTTGAGTTTGTAAAGAATGATGTGTGTACTGCTATTTTTTCTACATTTTAACATTTTTTACATTTCTTGACTTTCCGTTAAATATCATCATATTCAACTACTTTTTCCAATTTTCTTGCTTTGAAATAGAATGTGCATATTAGTCGCCAATGCATTTGTGTTAATTAAAATACAATTTATTTGACAAATTTTGAGGTTTACTTATGTAACAGAGATAAAAGCTTGTGTGTGTCTGTGAATTTTGATCAAAATGATTACAGAGTTGTATGTGCTTATGAGATTTTTGATCAATGCGTTTGTTTGGAGCCACCTAGTGGTGTGATTAGTGACTGCATGCAACGGGTCCGTCAGGCACTCACGCGGCTTCCTCCACCAGAATTCTGAGGAGCGCTGGTGGAGGTAGGTGCGAGAGAGGCAACTATTCACCTCTTTTTTTACTTAGGGTCATATTTTTCTAGTTCAACAATTAACGAAGTACTGTAAGAATATTTAACATCTACAAATATAATTTGTAAAGTTTTTCTCGTGGTTGGGCTGGAAAGATGTGACCCTATGAGTGGGAGCTGCGCCGGTTGGTGTTCGTGGCTGACCACTCAGTCACGGCGCTAACTGTGTCTTTTATTTTTCAGCCTGTCGGACCACTTGCCTGCAGTCAAAGCCACATTGTGAAGAGTTTTTTTTATTCTGTATTTTACTAGGTGGGTTCGGCTGCACAGTGGCGCAGTTGGTAGAGCTGTTGCCGTGCAGCAAGAAGGTTCTGGGTTCGATTCCCGGCCCCGGTCTTTCTGCATGGAGTTTGCATGTTCTCCCTGTGCATGCGTGGGTTTTCTCCGGGTACTCCGGTTTCCTCCCACAGTCCAAAAAAAACATGACTGTTAGGTTAATTGGTCTGTCTAAATTGCCCCTAGGTGTGTGTGTGTGTGCGCATGGTTGTGTGTCTCTGTGTTGCCCTGCGACAGACTGGCGACCTGTCCAGGGTGAACCCCGCCGCTCGCCCGGAACGTTAGCTGGAGATAGGCACCAGCACCCCTCCAGACCCCACTGAGGGACAAGGGTGTTCAGAAAATGGATGGATTACTAGGTGGGTTCAAAGTATAAATTTATTTATATATATAAAATGTTTTATGAATGTTTTACTTGTCAACTGGTATAACAGTTGTCTGTTATTTTACTGTTTTTGCTGTTAGTTATTTTTGATTGATTCATTGAATAAGAATGTTTTGTTTTTGGAAATTTGTTAACTGTTATATTTATTGTTTAAACTATACGAT